GATAGGAGAGACAAATCCCAGAGGTGAAAGAAGGCCCCGTGTTACCAAATGTTTTAAATGTGGTACACCAGGTCATATAAGTAAAAACTGTACGTGGGGTACTCCTAGGAGTAATATTCCTTTTAGGAATAGCCTAAACAGGAGACCCCAACCACCTCCCGGATTATGTAGAAGGTGTGGCAAAGGCCGACATTGGACCAGTGAGTGCAGATCAAAAATAGATATACGAGGTAACCCTTTACTGGCGGGAAACGCCTCAGGGGGCCTCTTGCAGGCCCCCAAATCCAATGTAGTACGAACATTCCCAGCCACTGTGGAAGAAATTCCTCTCCAAGACAACTGAATAAACCAATGCCTAATGTAAAAACCGATACTGCAATGGATGATAAAACAGCTCTGATGGATGGATCACAGTTTACAAAGAACACTATAAAACAAATATTTTGGCAGACTTCCATAAATGATCAAAGACCAAAGCTTAGAATTCGAATTAATGGCCTGGTTATGGAGGGACTGGTAGACATAGGTGCAGATGTGACTATAATTACACCAAAATCATGGCATCCAAATTGGCCTCTTCAAGAGGTAGATGTCCAACTTTTAGGGATTGGCACCCTATCTCAGATAAAACAGAGTTCGAGATGGGTTGAATGCATAGGGCCAGAAGGACAGAGAGGAAGGCTGAAGCCATATGTAGCAAATGTAGCAGTAAATCTTTGGGGCCGAGATCTGTTACAACAGTGGAATACCCAGATTAAAATTCCTACACTTTCAGAAAAAGAATACAGACAAATGCATGTTTCTAGGAATAATATCATCACATGCTATAAAAATCAGGCACCAACCATTCAGGCTGCTCACAAACAGAGCACAACTGCTGTTGAACCCTCAGAAGTACCAACTGCCTTACCTTTAAAATGGCTAACTAATAAACCTGTCTGGGTTGGACAGTGGCCTTTGACAAAAGACAAGCTACAAGCTTTAGAACAGCTGGTTCAAGAGCAGTTAAATGCTCAACACATTGAAGAATCTACCAGCCCTTGGAATTCTCCTGTATTTGTTATTAAAAAAAAAGTCTGGTAATTGGAGAATGCTGACAGATCTGAGAGCTATTAATAAAGTAATTCAGCCAATGGGCTCCCTACAGACTGGGATGCCCTTGCCCTCTCTGCTACCTAAAGAATGGCCTATAATAGTTATTGACTTAAAAGACTGTTTCTTTACCATACCCTTACAAGAAAATGATAGAGAAAAATTTGCCTTCACAGTACCTAATTATAACAATTCTCAGCCAGTCAAGAGATATCAATGGAAGGTCCTCCCACAGGGAATGTTAAACAGCCCTACTTTGTGCCAATACTTTGTGCAGAAACCATTGGAGATAATTCGTGTAAAGTTTCCACAATCCATAATTTATCACTATATGGATGATATCCTATTAGCTGATCCAAAGTTAGATACATTAGAAAGCATGTTTGAAGAAGTAAAAAAAGTTTTGCCTCGCTGGGGACTGCAAATTGCTCCTGAAAAAATACAAAGAGGAGATTCTATTAACTACTTAGGATATAAGATAGAGCTACAAAAAATTAGACCCCAAAAGGTACAGCTAAGGAGAGATCGGTTGAAGACTCTTAATGATTTTCAAAAGTTATTAGGAAGCATTTCCAACTTACTGGGTATCATGGGAATACCCAAAGATGGACTACAAAATTTGGCTAATACTCTAGAAGGGGACAAAGAATTAAATAGTCCAAGAGAATTATCAGCCGAAGCTGAGAAGGAATTGGCTCTAGTAGAAAAGACAATTCGAGAAGCACATGTGGATCGTGTGGATCCAGAACTTAAATGCATTCTTGTCATATTCCCCTCCAGACATTCCCCAACAGGTATTTTGATGCAGAGGGAAGATATTATATTGGAATGGATATTCCTACCACGTAAACCAAATAAGAAATTAAAGACTTATATAGAAAAGATCTCTGATTTGATTCAAAAAGGTAAACTAAGACTTCGCCAGTTGACAGGAATGGACCCAGCAGAAATTGTAGTACCTTTAACTAATGAAGAAATTTCATCACTATGGAAAGATAATGAATACTGGCAGAGAGCCTGCAGTAACTTTTTGGGAGAGATTAACAACCACTATCCCAAAAGCAAGAGAATAGAATTCATAAAGAAGACTGAATGGGTCCTTCCTCACATTGTACGACAAAAGCCAATTTCTGGAGTCCTCACATTCTATACTGATGCAAATAAATCAGGGAAAGCAGGATATAAATCAGGAGACTTAAGTAAAGTGGTACAAAGTCCATACAGCTCTGTACAAAAGGCAGAACTGTATGCCATTCTTATGGTACTGATGGACTTCACAGAACCCCTCAATATAGTCACTGACTCTCAATATGCAGAGAGAGTTGTTTTACATATTGAAACTGCTGAATTTATTCCTGATAATACAGAATTAACTTCATTATTCATACAATTGCAGGAAATCATCAGAAAAAGGGAACATCCTATATATATAACACATATCAGATCCCATACAGGTCTGCCAGGACCTCTAGCACAAGGTAATGATGAGATTGATCAGTTACTAATAGGTAATGTGCTAGAAGCTTCAGAATTTCATAAGAAATGCCATGTAAATAGCAAAGGTTTGAAGAAGGATTTCTCCATCACTTGGCAACAGGCTAAGGATATTGTGAAAAAATGTCCTACTTGTTCCATCTATAACCAACTTCCATTACCTGCAGGGAGCAATCCAAAAGGTATACAAAGAAATGAAATTTGGCAGATGGATGTGTTTCATTTTGCAGAATTTGGAAGATTAAAGTATGTACATCATACCATTGACACCTATTCAGGATTTCAGTGGGCAACTCCTATGAGTTCTGAAAAGGCTGATTCTGTGATTACACACCTATTAGAAGTTATGGCCATCATGGGAATACCTGTACAAATTAAGACAGACAATGCCCCAGCATATGTCTCCAATAAAATGAGACAATTCTTTGCTTATTATAATATAAAGCATGTTACAGGTATACCACACAATCCCACAGGCCAAGCAGTCATAGAAAGATCCAATCGAACTTTAAAAGATATGCTAAATAAATAGCAACGGGTAACAATGACTCCTAGAAATAGATTGCATAGTGCTTTATTAACCTTGAATTTTCTCAATGCTGATGAGAAAGGAACAACAGCTGCAGAGAGACATTGGACGACAGACAAAACTCCTGAGCTAAACCAACCAGTTTATTTCAAGGATGTGCTGACCTCAGAATGGAAACCTGGATATGTTCTACGTTGGGGAAGGGGTTTTGCCTTTGTTTCTGCAGGAGAAGAAAAGCTATGGATACCAACAAAATTAATAAAAATTCGATTCGAACAGGAAAAACCCCTTGATGAGGAGAAGTAAAAGATCATCCACCAATGTGACATCTCTACAAGTTGTAAGAAAAATTTAACAATCAAAGGTTGGGGTAGGGTTCTGTTTTTGTCTTTCCAGGATGATGGAAATACCCATCTTACAGAAGTCATAAGGCCTTGGATATCCGGATGTTTACAGCAGAAAGAAAGAATCTATTGGTACCAATCTACACACGGTAAAATCTTACTGTCTAATATCTATCTCTCTATCAATCTAGAAAAGTTGTGGTTCCAATTCAATTATAAGCCAAGCTGACTTTGGAGATGGAATTGGCTCACTCCTTCTCTAAACCCAAGCATATTGCTAAAAGGAAGTTTGAGAGATTCTTCAGTCCCATATCTGAAGAGCCCTCTGGTGTGGGACAGAAGGAAACCAATAAAAAGGGACCATTGTCTTCTAGATTCTAACTCTCTCCATGCTTACTCTTGATTTCTCAGAATCCTTTCTTACATGCTATGTCCTCTTTAAATCCAAACCTTCCATTTTGATAACAAATAAGTTTTTCTAATAGCAATCTCAGAAGTCTCCAGAAGGAAGATGGGGCCCCAACAACTCTACCCAATCCAGAATGATGCCATGGTAATCATCATCATACTACACTTCTTACCAGAATTTCAGACAATCTTACCCATTACTCTAAGACTTGCTGCAGAACCTACAGTTAGTCTAACTGAGATTTAACTATCTGAGCTTTCTCACAGTACCCAACAGAGATAACATCACCCCCTAAACAGCAGGAAGTAATTCTAAGAAAACGACGCCCCTTCTCCCTTAGGTTTCATAATTCTCAAGGTTATGAATGATGGTTATAGGGTTGGGGGTGGAAGGAAATATTAAACTCAGTATTCTAAAAAAAAAAAATAATAAAATGAAAAGAAGAAATGGAATGGATAGGTATAAGGTATTATGGTAGATTATTATGTATACTAGTAAACAAATTTAGTAAAATAGCAGCCTTAAATAATTTGCACTGTAATTTGCACTGTTATGGATTCTTATATGTTGATACAAATGTAAACCATTTTTATATTCCTGTTTAAGATAATTTGTATATTGATACAAATACAGAACTATATTTGTTATAATGTACATATATTTCTACTCTTATTTGAAATGTTTGTATATTGATACAAATGTAAATTTATATCTGTCATACTTTATGTAGGTTCTACTTCTGTTTAGGATATTCGGTATATTGATATAAATTTAAGATTATTGTCATATTGCATATCACACTACATACTCCTACCTCTGTTATAAATATCGATATATATTTAAGATTATTGTCATATTGCAATCGCACTATATACTCCTACCTCTGTTATAACATCTTGTGTATTGTCACAATTTTAAAGTCATCGTTCTTTACCATACACTTGCTTATAGACTGTTTACCTTGTTTACGTGAAGCCTTAGTCCTTAGGTTATTTCGGTAGATAAGACTTACAGATTTATAGTCACCGATGCTGGTCATCTCTATAGTTACGTTAGTTAGGTTATCCAGATTTACAGATACATAGGTCAGATGGACAGGTAATCTTCAAACACTTCAGAGACCTAGAGAATATGGCATTTAAATAACTTAGAATTCTGTTGATGTGAGACACAATTGCTCCTGGCTGCACCAATTTGATCCCGAGAGAATGTTGGGCTTCTAAGACATTTCCATTTGGAAGTTTGTCTTCTTGGCACAAAATGGCCTACTGGGCAAAGAACTGCCCTTGCCTCGACGGATGACAGTACAAATGCAATGCTATCCTTTCTGGACAAGTGGGACACAAGGAAAGCGACCACTGTACTCTGCCAAGACAGGGTAAGATGGTCTTTCAGAATTCCTGCTTCTAAAAATGGTCTGTCAGATACTTTAGGCCTGTAGCCAATTTGAATGCACCAACAATGCTGAGAAACATTAGGTGACTGTCCAGGCTGCCAGCTGTCTTGGTCTACTCTCGCAAGATTCCCGAAAGTTGCTTGCATCCATCTACCATTCCTCAGGTACCATTATATTCTTTCTCAGGTCTTTGATGGGATTGAAGACTAGCAGTTATAGTTACAACTTAGTAGATAGAACATATTAAGTATTAGATTCAGGTTCTTTAGGATAGGACACCTTTTGGAATGATCTTTGTAACTTGCCATTTACCTATGCTCTATACTTCTCTGGATTATAGTATGTGTTTCTTGCTTGATATTGTTTGCATTGGTTGTAGTTCCATCTTATCTAGGTCATTATCCCTCATTATTCCTGGACTATATTTGATAACCATTCCTTTGTATATAGTCTTGTATTAGGTTAGAACTTTCTTATTTAGACAAAAAGGGGGAGATGTAGTGGGTAGCCATTCCAGCTTTGATCTGGAAGTTCCAACCCCCATTGAGACTTCGGCAACTGTCACGCCTACAAGGCGGGGCGAAAGGAGGCGCCTGGGGACCTGAGATCTGGATCGGCGGGCTCGCTCTCTGTTGCGGGACCCTGGACTGGAGAGGTGTACCAAGCAGAGCTCCAGAGAACACCGCTGGACTGCGATACACCTTCCCCAGACTCCGCGACCTACCTATCCCTTAATTTGTAAGTTACGCCATTAAATAAATCTCCTTTTAACTACGTGGAGTGGCCTTAATAATTTCACCAATATATAAACCCTCCTCTTTCTCACTAATTGGACTCCTGGAGCTCCACCCGGGGCCTACCCATGGATCTCTGCATCCAGTTCCCTCAGTCATTGGATGGGCTTTCTAGAACAGCAATTAGGGTGTTTGGCCATCCCATCACCAGAGTAGGTCAGTTCGGGCTGTCTCTCGACCATTGCCAGCAGTCTATTGTGGGGGTATCTTTGTGGATTTCTGTGGGGCTCTCTAGTACTTTCCTTCTTCCTATTATCATGTGGTCTTCATTTACCATGGTCTCCTATTCCTTGTTCTCCCTATCTGTTCTTTTTTTGTGTGTGTGTGTGTCAAAAAATATGGATATTTTATTCCAGCTCTGGGGAAAAAAAAACACATCCTTCTATCCACCATTCTAAGTTAACTGGCAATAATTGGGAAAACTGAAGCAGATTCATATGTATATACATGTATATGTATATTTACATATACATATTTTCAGGTTTTAATCTTACTGACATTTATATCTTCACTTTATTTTGCTTTCTAATAAATTCTCTTACAAGTCATGAAATATACTTCTAGTACTTCTACTTCAGTTGCCTCATCAATCTCTTAATATTACTTGTGTTGTATTCATTATTTTGAGTTTTAACCACTTCCAGCATTGGCCAAACTGTTTATTTTAAAATGTCATGGGACAATTTCTAGTCATGCTGTCAGTTACCCATTCATCACATGATTTTTAACCATTGTCTGTCACTTGGTACATCTTGTGGTTCTCTACGCAGACTCCCACTGTAGTCTATTTCAGCTTCTAGTGCTGTACATATCTTTATCTTCTGGATGAGACTGCCCGTGATCCATGAGCTTGGGGTCAGGTATAAACTAAGCTGTGCCTGCAGTTGATTCCGATTTCATCGCTGTTTCAGAAACAAGATCTTTTGGAAAAGTCACTAAATGTTTTAGGTTAGGTGTTTTAGCATGTATTTCATCAGATTTTCCTACCTTAGTTTCTCCCTTTGGTTCAGGGAGTGACTTTTTTTCGCTGCTTTTTGTCCACAATGACTTAATAGCTTGAAAAATTTGCTGGCTTGTAGTATATGCCTTTTTCCAAGTTTTCTTTGCAATCATTACTGACTGAGCTGGGTAACAAACAGTTGTTCCTAATGAGGCCAATCCTAGTGGATAAGCAATCTTCTTAAACCTAGAACCTTTTCTTGCTGAAACCAAACCCATCAGCCCTGAAGCTGTAATCACTCCCATTTTGAGAAGAAAATCTTGAGGAGGATTCTTCAGATAGAAATATGCATCTTTTCCAAATTGTACTGTATCCATTATCCCATTCTTCATAAAGATATAAACACCCTTGTACCAGCCAATATAACGAACAGTTGTAGTACGGATGGATGCAAAGCCCATTTGTAAATAACCAGGCTGTTCTTCAACATATTTAGAATGAAGAGGTGGTGCAGTATATATGGGGAGCTGTTCTGGTCTCACTAGCTGCTTTTTGGGTTCCTCTTCTTTGGCCCGATGTACATTTATAGATGCATACATCAGACGTGCAGGCATGGTTGTCAACTTTCTCATCCTAAAAGCCGCCAGACCTATGACCCTCGGCTCCTTTTTGGATGGAGAGCGCCCCCTCTTTGTTCTTGATCCAGCTGGGATCTCTCGCTCCCCCAAGCTCTCTTTCCCTCGACCCTCACCCTTCATTACCCCTACTCATGTCCAGATTGTTCATGTAGATCTCATCCATTTCTCCATCATTGGGTGATCCCCGTGTCTTTCTTGGGGTCCTGTTTTCCAGGTAGCCTCCCTGGTGATGTGAGTAGCAGTCCAGTCATCCTTGTTCCACATCTAGTATCCTATGAGTGAGTACATACCATGTTTGTCTTTCTGAGTCTGGGTTACCTCACTCAGGATGATTTTTTTCTATATCCATCCATTTGCCTGCAAACCTCATGATGTCATTCATGAGGAAAGCTGCAAATAAATCCATATCTATCACTGTGCACAAAACTTAAGTCCAAGTGGATCAAGGACCTCAACATAAATCCAGCTACTCTGAACCTGCTAGAAGAGAAAGTAGGAAGTAGTCTTGAACGCATTGGCATAGGATATCACTTCCTAAATATAACACCAGTAGCACAGACACTGAGAGAAACAATCAATCAATGGGACCTCTTGAAACTGAGAAGCTTTTGTAGAGCAAAGGATACGGTCAACAGGCAAAGCGACAGCCTACAGAATGGGAAAAGGTCTTCACCAACCCCACATCTAACAGAGGACTGATATCCAGAATATATAAGGAACTCAAGAAATTAGACATTAAAATGCCCAACAGTCTGATTAAGAAATGGGCTATAGAACTAAACAAAGAATTCTCAACAGAGGAAACTCAAATGGCTGAAAGATATTTAAGGAATTGCTCAACATCCCTAATTATCAGAGAAATGCAAACCAAAATGACTCTGAGATACCACCTTACACATGTCAAAATGGCTAACATCAAAAACACTGAAGACACCTTATGCTGGAGAGGATGTGGAGCTAGGGGAACTCTCCTCCACTGCTGGTGGGAATGCAAGCTTGTACAACCACTTTGGAAATCAATATGGCGCTTTCTTAGAAAATTGGGAATCCATCTCCCCCAAGATCCAGCTATACTACTCTTGGGCACATAGCCAAGGAATGCCCAATCATACCACAAGAGCACTTGCTCAGCTATATTCATATCAGCATTGTTTGTAATAGCCAAAACCTGGAAACAGCCTAGATGCCCTTCAACTGAAGAATGGATAAATAAAATGTGATACATATACACAATGGAATACTACTCAGCAGAGAAAAACAATGACATCATGAGGTTCCTAAAATTTAAAAGTAGAACTTCATCATAACCCTCCAATACCATTCCTGGTCATATATTCAAAGAACTGCATATCTTACCACAGACAAACCTACATATCCATGTTTATTGCTGCTGTATCTAGGACAGAAAAGAAATGAAAGTAGACTACATGTCCATCAAAAGAAGATATTGTACATATATATGTAATATTATTGAATTATAAATCAAAAATGAAGTCATGGTATTTACAGGAAAATTTACTCATCTGGAGAGATTAATATTAAGTAAGATGACTGTGGTGTTTGAATAACAATGGCTCCATACACTCATGTGTTTAAATGCTTGGCCCAAAGGAAGTGGCACTATGAGATGTGGCTTTGTTGGAGTAGGCATGGACTTGATGGAGGAAGTGTGTCATTGTGGAGGCAGGCTTTGAGGTCTCATACATGCTTAAGCCACGCCCAGTGTGACAGTTCACTTCCTGCTGCATATGGATCAAGAAGTAGAACTACCAGCTCCTTCTCCAGCACCATGTCTGACTGCACTTGCCATGCTTCTTGCCATGACAATAATGGACTAAATCTCTGAAACTCTAAGACAGCCCCAATTAAGTTTTCCATGATAAAAGTTGCATGATCATTGTATCTCTCAATAGCATTAGAAACCCTAATTAAGACAATAATCTGAACTTAAAAATTAAACACTTTCTCCTCATATGCAAAACCTAACCTATAATATGTGTAGACAGGTATAAGTATGAATAAAGTATAGATGTTTAGGAAATAGATAAGGAGGGTAATACTTGGTGATGAGAAAGAAAAAATACAGACAATAAGAATCATGAGTCATGAAAATGGATACAAAGCTATTTTTTTCTAGTTTTAACTCCTTTATTGTTTGTTTTTCCTTCCCCATGGTATGCTTGTGAATTCAACTTTCTATGTACTGACATACCAAGAACTATATTCCTCTTTGACAATTAGGTTTTCTCTTTAATTCCATTGTCTATTGTGAAATAGCAATGAGACATGCTTAGTCACTGGATACATTTGTCATATGAGAGCCGCTGGTTGCAAAAGGCCCTGGGAATATGCAGCAGGTAACAACTAGTGTTCAAAAGATCAACCTAACAGAACCAAGGGTTCTGCTGGAGGACTAAGCCATCATGCAAGACATATTGTAATTATTGCTCTTTGAATGAATTGGCTGTTTCTTGTTGCTAACTTCTCATGTAATTACAGCTATGATCTCCATATTACTATGAATTTTCATAAAATGTATATATGTAATTTCATGATTACATTTCAACCTTATGGGCATATATATCTGTGAGTGGTCAGAAAGATGACTTTTCATTTAGTTGTATAAATTTGATATATAGAAAATATAGTAGGATATGCTTCATAGCCAGATCCATTGTCCCATGAGACTGTAGACACTTAAAGTCTGTTTTGTTCCTTTTGCTCAAATGTGTTAGTTCTATGTTAAGAAAATACTAATCTCTTCTCAGTCTAACACAAACTACATGATTTTAGTTCATTTTTAGCCTAGTTCAAACTAGGCTAAAGGCCTTTGTATGTAGATCATAAGTTTAAAAATTTATAGTAAATCACAAGGTCAGAGTTGCAGGTGTCTCACCAAGGATACTAACACAAAACACCCTAAGGAATGTCTGCCAATTCTGCTTGCCAAATCTGCTGATGCAAAGTTATGTCTCAGAGTTTGTTGCACTGAGCACTGAGCCCCCTCCCTCTGTTCCTGAGACCATGGAACCTTGTGTTACTATGGTAATAGCTCTGTTTCTTATCATCTATTCTAGGAATGTGCTAGGACATTGAGGGAACTGAAACTTTTCTTGGGATTGCAAGGAGTCTCCTGTTACAAATGTAAGGAGTCAGGTAAGAGAGTAGCTAAGAAGGAGAACTGGCTTAGAAAAATAAAATGAATGGACTGAAAGAGCACGATGTACAAAGATTTATTTGATATCTCTCAGATTAGATCCCAGCCTCTTGTAAGCATCGTTCCCTGAACACTGGGAGAAATCACTATGGGGCAGATACCTGAGGGTTTTTTGATATTTGTTTGTCAACTTAGTAAGAAAATGTTTTTTTTTTTTTTTTTTTTTTTGGTTTTTCGAGACAGGGTTTCTCTGTGTAGCTTTGCGCCTTTCCTGGGACTCACTTGGTAGCCCAGGCTGGCCTCGAACTCACAGAGATCTGCCTGGCTCTGCCTCCCGAGTGCTGGGATTAAAGGCGTGCGCCACCACCGCCCGGCCAAGAAAATGTTGTTTAAAAGGAAATTATTCTGTGAAAGGTGATATTTTAATCTAGATTTTTTCCTTTTATTCTTCTGTTTATAGGTATATCAAGTAATTCTATTATAGTGTATTTAATAAGTAAAGTACATTTCTATGCGTAAAGTAAAGCAGTTTGTAAAACAAAATAGTAATAGAAGAATATTTTTATATTGAGTCTAAATAGAAAGATGGAAGCTGAAGGAAATTTATATCAACTAAGAGGATAGGAAGTAGTTGGACTCAAGGTACATTTTGAAAACGACAATTTAGCATGTGGTAAGAAACAAAAAGTTAACTTGAATAGACATAAGTATTTTGTTACTTTAAAAGAATGAAAATTACTACTCTAAAATTGTGAAGATTTTGAGATAAACAACATTGGAGGGAAAACCAGTAATTCTATTTTATACATTCTAACACTATGAGAAATGTATAACCAAGTAGACATAGGAAGAACACTCAGTGGTTATACATGTAAAAATAACATTCAAAGAAGAGGTTCTGAATTTGAGGGGGAGTTGTGGAGTCACAGGGGGAGCAGGAGGGAGATATGGATAGGAGGAATTGGTATAAATGCTTACTCATGAATAAAATTCTCAAAAAATTAAACTGATAAAAAGAAATATCAAAATTAAATGTTATCAACAATTCTGAATACTTTTTGCTTTTGTGTGTGTGTGTGTGTGTGTGTGTGTGTGTGTGTGTGTGTGTGTTTCATTTTGAGAATGTATTACAATGTTTCTCCCTTCCCTTTTCTCTCTTCAAAACATCATGTTTACCTGAGTCTGTTCTCCTTCAAATTTTTGGATTTTCTTTTGATCATTTGTTATTGAAGATATTTATGTATTTGTATATATATATATATATATATATATATATATACATATATATACATATATATATTCCTCTATATAACCTGTTGAATATATAATGTTACTTGTATGTACATTATCAGGACTGGCCATTTGACATTTGAAAACCAATTGGTGTACTCTTTCCTTGGGAGGATTAACTCTACTGCTCCTATCTTTATTCTATATTGGATTTAGACCTAATGGGAGTTCCCCATTGAGTTTTGCATGTTTATTGTTCAACTCATGTTTGGGCAGTCATGTTGACAGAACTTTGCAGATAAAACTTCTGATATTACTAGCAGACACAACCTCACAGCAAACTCCCTGATCCTCTGGCTCTTAAAAAATTTCTGCCCACTCTCCTACAGTGTTCCATGAACATTGGGTGCTGCAGTGTTTTGTAGATGTATCCATTGAGACTATGCATCACAACTCTGCATTACAATTGGTTGTGATTTTCTGTATTGGTCTCTTTCTGTTTCAAAGGGGTATTTCCTTAATGAGGGATGATACTACTAGATTTTAAGAGAATAACCAACTCTTGTTATGTAGAATCTTGTTTCATCATTTCAAAACCATGAAACTAGAAACATATGATCAAGGAAAAAAATTCAAGGTACTGGAAGAGTAGATATGAGGAGCAGTGTGGAAGAGAGAAAACAAATAAGAAAGGAAAACTCAAATCATGCTGATGTTGCTCAGGAGAAACTACTGAAAAAAAAAACTGTGATAATAATTGTCACGGAGTGTGAGATGACTCATCCCTAACAGGCTTGAGAGCCAGCCTGCTCAAATCAGTAAAAGAGATACTTTCTGAGAGTCAACCTGGGTCTCCCTAAGGGCCTTAGAAGCAGCAGCTGAGACATGATCTGGAGATGACCTGGACCAATGAGAGGCAGCTATGTCACACTAACAGATGCATATTCATCAGATCTTCCCCCAGGGTGGGGTAGAGTGTATATAAGGCTTGCCTCTTCCTGAATAAACTGAGCTTGTTGTTTCAACATTCCCCCAGAGTCTGTGTTGTTGACTCTGTGGCTACTTGGCCCCCTCTTCCAAATGGAACAACATCATAGGACCCTGCCACATCCAGTGCCAAAACCCGGGACACTGGATGCTTGAACATGGTCTGTTTGTGTCCCTTTACTCATGTGTGGTGCTAGTTGAGCACTCCCTTGAGCAGTGTATTTTGGTGAGTAGGCTCCTTTATATTGGGTGCTTTCTATCCCTTTAGCAGGTAAATGCTGGGACCCCCACTTTCTTCTTTTTGTTTGTCTTGTTTGTGAATCTGTCTGTACAGTAGGGTGGCAGTACTTTTGTTCAGGCTTGCCTGGTGTTTCCATATAAGGGCTGGACCCTTAGGAAATGGAGCCACAGTCTGAATATTTTTAGTTGTGTAAATGTATATGTGTGTATGTGTATGTTCGTGAGTTCATGTATGTGCTTGTGGGCTATGAAGATGATAGAGGTCCTTAAAGTGGAAATAAAAAAAATTCCCTAAAAGAGATAGAGGAAAAGACAAACAAAAAATTGGAGGAAATTAATAAATCTCTTGAAGAAAAACAAGAAAAAAAGCAAGCAAATGAAACTGTTCAAAACCTGAGAATGGAAATACAAGTAATAAAGAAAACATTAACTGAGGGACTTATGTAAATAGAAAACTAACTGCAAGCATAAACAACAGAGTACTTGAGGTAGAATAGAAGGTCTCTGGTATTGCAGATATGAGAGAGCAAATAGATTCATTGGTCAAAGAAAATGTTAAATCTAAACAATTCCTAACACAAAATATCCAGGAAATCCAGGACATGATAAAAGTATCACACCTAAGAATTATATGATTAGGAGAAGAATGCCTGCTCAAAGGCCCAGAAAATATATTCAACAAAACCATAGAAGAAAGTTTTCATAAACTAAAGAAGGATACACCTATAAAAGTACAGCAAGGTTATAGAACACAAAATAGACTGGATCCTTGCCACATAATAATCAAAACCTTGTACAACACTGGTGAGTGCCCGTCCTTGCCCCAGGCCCCATCCCTGGGCACCAGCCACTCCAGGAAAGACCTGCCCAACTCGGCCCCAGGTTCTGGCCACCGGACAGGTTCCCTGCTAGCCCCACCGGGAAGGATCCCCTTCTCCAAGACCCCTGGCAGACCCTGCAGTCTCCACGCCCTGCCCCCACGCCCATCCGCCTGAGCCCCAAGCCTCTTCCTGAGACTTAGAGGCTGGCCCCCAGCTCCCATCTTGCTCCGGACGTCCCTTTTGGAACAGTCGTGAGTACCCTTCCTTGCCCCAGACCCCATCCCTAGGCACCAGCCACTCCAGGGAAGACCTGCCCAACTCGGCCCCAGGTTCTGGCCACCGGGCAGGTTCCCTGCTAGCCCCACCGGGAAGGATCCCCTTCTCCAAGACCCCTGGCAGACCCTGCAGTCTCCACGCCCTGCCCCCACACCCATCCGCCTGAGCCCCAAGCCTCTTCCTGAGACTTAGAGGCCGGCCCCCAGCTCCCATCTTGCTCCGGACGTCCCTTTTGGAACAATCGTGAGTACCCTTCCTTGCCCCAGACCCCATCCCTGGGCACCAGCCACTCCAGGGAAGACCTGCCCAACTCGGCCCCAGGTTCTGGCCACCGGGCAGGTTCCCTGCTAGCCCCACCGGGAAGGATCCCCTTCTCCAAGACCCCTGGCAGACCCTGCAGTCTCCACGCCCTGCCACCACGCCCATCCGCCTGAGCCCCAAGCCTCTTCCTGAGACTTAGAGGCCGGCCCCCAGCTCCCATCTTGCTCCAGACTTCCCTTTTGGAACACTGACTTCCCTTTTGGAACACTGGTCTGTCTGAACCAAGTGTGCGGATAAGGCCAAGAACGAACCACAAGGAGATGGGCAGACGTCAAGGCAGAAACATATACAACAAAATGAATAGCAATACAGCATCACCAGGCCCTAGCCCTCCTCCAACACCTAGACCTGAACATCAGAAATTGGAAGAAGCAGAAGAAAACAGCCTTATGAATGACATCATGAAGAAGCTAGAGGCTTGCGTAGAGGAAAAGACAAAAAAATGTGAAGAACGCTGTAAACAACTAGAGGAAAGGGCAAACAAATTAGAAGAAATCAATAAAGTCCTGGAAGAAAACAATAAAATACTGAGAGAAAATCAAGAAAAATCAATGAAACAAATGAAGGAAACAGTCCAAGACCTGAAAAGGGAAATAGAAAAAATGAAGAAGACACAAACAGAGGGAATGCTGGAAATAGAAAATCTGAGAAAACGATTGGGAACTTCAGATGCAAGTATAATCAACAGAATGCAAGAGATGGAAGAGAGGATCTCTAGCGTTGAAGATACAGTAGAAGAAATACATTCATCAGTCAAAGAAAACACTAAAACCAACAAAGTCATGAACCAAAATGTCCAAGAAA